TTATGTTCAAAGAGTGGCTATACGAACGAGAACGTTGAATCCTCATATATAATTATTTTTCGGAATATTTTTCTTACTCTATTAGAACTTGGTAGAAATATTTTTTATTTTGATCAATATAAATGCTTTAAAAACAAAATTTAAAAACTAGGCACCAAAATAGTTAATTAATTTCCATATTTTTGAGATTGTATAATAATGAATACCTTTTTTGTTTAAAACTGGAAAATTTCAAAAAGCTCAAAAGCATGAAAGACTGCAAAAACTTTCAAATGTTATAAATGTATCATAATTACACAGGGTGTTCGTTTAATAAATCGACGAACTAATAGTGGTGGTAGTGGATATCAAAGTCATTTTATCCAGAATGTCATGTCCAATCGTGTACAAGTACTATATTCTATAGGTATTACCTCATTGTTTCTCAGTTTATCATACTGTATTGAAGATATTGCTCTAATAATCAACAGTATTTTTAGCTAATTATGCTTGTTTACGGGGGAGATCAAAAGTATCATCCTCATGTATTGTGTAAAATATTCAAACAAATATAAAAAAGGTCTCAATTTTGGATAATTTATTCGACCTACTGTCTCATAAAACTCAATATCGTCTGTATGATATTGCGAGCCATGGAAAAGAATCGAAACCCTTCTAAAGGAGCAAAACGTCCGCTTATAGTTTATTTACGATGACTGGAAAGTCATTTTTTCCCCGTACTCCTGCTCAATATCTCACATTCGTTGCATTCATTGGCGTCAGGCATCACAGGCATCAGTCGCAGGTGGCCGCTATGCGATGCGATGGGTCGGTCGTAGAGCTTGAATATCCCGTTTAAATTCATATCTACATGTCAGAAGTGGAATGGCAGAAGTGGGATATAGTACAGTCAATTTATAAAAAACTATTTCTTTGAAATAATGTTTCTAGATTTTCTAAAAATGTATAATAACCAAGCAAAGTGCTTAAGCTACTAAGCCATCTTCAAAGGTTATCTTGAACTAGTATTCTTTTAAATAAAGATACTGCTTGTAGTAAGTATATTTGTTTTAAGTTTAATGTGCTACTTCAAATAATTTGTATGATAACTACAAAACAATGTTACTGATAAACATTTCCATCTCTAAAACTATTACGTTTAGTTTCATCTTTATTAAAAATTATATTTAGTTATAATATTCTCAAGATAACAATTTTTTTCTTTAATATTTTAAAAACTATTATTGTATATTTCCAATTCAGCCTTATTATAATTTTATTTAGGCCTTCAATATATCTTTAGTTGATTTGTTAATAACATAGTAAAATATAAACTAATTTAAAGGTTAGAATTTAAAAAAAAGGACAAAGAAACTTATTTATTAGTTATAATTGTAAAAAATACACCCATGTTAATATTCATGATTGGGATACAAAAATTTAGGTGTAGGGGAAAAAGAAATGCTGACGAAATCAATACCTGTCAACATGAAGTTTATTTACAGATAAAAGACATTAAAAACTAATTTTAGCCTAATATAAATATTATTTTAATATCACCAATTGTCTTTTTATTCGAATAAATATATATTTTTATATAAATTATCAATTTAAATGTTCTGTTACAAACCCTGCCTCTAAATCAATTTATGATCGTGAGTTTAAAACACTCAACATTTTATTCAAAGGGCCAAAAGCAGATACTTGTCACAAGTGTGATGTACTTTCTATAAAAGAAAGAGTAGCAAAGTCGGAAGATGAGATGAAGTCTATACAAGATGAGAAAACTAAACATCAAGATGAGGCAGATTTGGAATATACTAAAAAGCGAGAGGACAAATAACGTGTTAAGGACAACACCATTAAATGTTACGCATTTGACCTCCAACAGTGCCTGCCAACACCCTACTTAAATACGTCGGTGGTATTCTATAAACGCCAACTATGGACGTTCAACCTAACTTTCCATGAAACGACAACAGAAAATGTAACTTGCTTCATGTGGCATGAGGCCGAAGGTGGAAGAGGAGCCAACCAAATCGCCACATGTATTTTTAAACAACTGTCAAGTTTGCCACAACAAATCCAAAAAGTCATTTTATATTCAGATTCATGTGGGGGCCAAAACAGAAATTCACATGTCTCAGCAATGTTTTTAACGCTTTTGTTTATGATCAGTGGTCATAGCCACCTTAAATATGATGTTGATCATGGGATGATAGAAAAACAAAAAAAAACATCTACAAATCCAAATTCAGTTCCCCATAATTGGTACCAGTTAGTACGAACTACTGGAAGAAAGAAAATGTTTCAAGTGGTGGAAATAAACCACAAAAATTTCGTAAACTATTCCGACCTATATAAAAGCCATCTTAAACTAAAACAAAAAGATAGCAATGGTAACTCCTTCAAGTGGACAGAGCTGCGGTGACTAAGGTACCGTCAAGGATTTCCAAAAAATATTTTTTTCAAGTCTTCACTAGACGAAAGGGAAGAATTTCGATGTATGAATTTAGAAATTTAGAAAAAATTCTACCGTTGGAATACAGTTCATAAACAAGTACCATATAGTACCACTCACTCCAAAAAAAAGGTTTTGTTTAATGCTAAAATTTTCTCCTAATTGAACTGGACTAACAACAAAATTGGACATTTTGATGTGGAAGAACGTTTTAAATCGTAATCTTGGATAGATGTGTCATCGTTGGAACAAAAGGTCCTTCCTAATGTACCTTTCAAATAGGGATCATTTAAAAATCGTTATAATATATATAGGATACTGTTTCTCATTCTCATAATGTTAAGTACTAAATAATAACAAAAATAATTGATCAATATTTGAATAACAGTAATAATAGCAGCTAAAGACTATAAAAGTTTTGTTAGATAATGTAATTGACTTTTTTAGTTAATATAGGACAAATCAAGATTACGTAATTAGTGTTTTTAATGGAAATTCCTTACAATAATTGAAATTTGATTGTTCTTTTCATTTATTTTTATCAATAGTTAAACAATAATAGATTTTGGTAAAAAAAAACAAGTATTAGTTTTTCTTTTTTTTTTTAAATTAACTAAATTAAATTAATCGTTTTTGTTATATTAAATATTTTCGAAGCCAATTTTTAAATAAAATAATTATTTATGGAACCAGTTATAAAATGGCATTTCGTTTTGTGATACATACAATATTTTTTCTAATTTTGACTAGATAATTTATAAAATTGTGTTTTGTTAAAAAATTACAGACATCTAGGCAATCAATATTATTACTTTCTTGTATTTTTAGTTGCATATGCATCATTTTATTGACAAATCGAACAAACTATTAATTGATTATTCACAACCTCTTGTAGTGTGTTTATATTGATTATTAAAGTTATTTGGTTTTCAAAAAAAAGTGTGTTATTTTGGCATGTACTGTATTTTAATTATTTCGTGTTGATTTAGAATGAAAAATAAGGTTCAAAACAGCATTATTACTAAGTAGGTCTAACCAAATTCTATTTTTATATCCAACCTGCCATTCTTTGATATAAACTCTTGATAACAATTTATAATATTGATTTGAAAATCAAAAAATGGTTGATTTGTATTTGTTTTCTTATCGCAACAGGCGACATAATGAATTTTTTGAAACAAGTTCAACATTATGCAACTGTCTATTCGTCAAAAATTAAAAAAAAATGTTTTTTCAAATAATTTTATATTTCTAATTAACAAAATTAGATACTTTTTATTCTAGCTTATTTAAATAAGACATAATGTGAGAAATCTCCTTGAAAATTATTTAAAATAACAAGTAATTCAGTTAGTAATTAATTAGAAGATAATTGAAAACTTGTTTGTGGACCAAACCTACGAGGGCTGCTCAATTTTTCTTATTTTTATGTACTTCTTTCCACTGTTTGATAATTAAACATTAATATACACAGTGTCCCAAAACTGCTTGGCTATGAAGGTGCCACTTATTATAAGAGTTAAAATAAGTCGATTGGACCAAATTTATATATACCAAAATGTACCGTTTGTCTGTAAGAAAAATAGTTGACTAATTATTGAAACATTTACTGTCAACAATAAACTAGGATGATTATGAATTTGTTTACTGCCAAAATCATGACTTTTGTTTTGTTTTTGTGTCCAGGGTCAACTAGGATTAAACTTGAACTAAGAATATCAGTTATAGGTGTTTCAGAAAATATTTTTATCATTTGAAAATATGCGAAATAAAAATAAACTGATAAGAATAATTCTTCCTGTTAAAAAGTCATTTAAAGTTTCTTCCGAACACCCAACAGTCGCACCCCGAACCAGAACATATTGCTATCCTTTTAAGGAAAAAAATAACTAGTCATCCTTATCTGAAAAATAAAGGCGTCTGACTTTTACATCAAAAAACCATACACTTTTCCCATTGTTGCAAGAACCTTATCACAGTTAGGTAGATATCAACCAGAAGCAGGTACTTAATGGTTATAAAGTTTATTTTATATAATATAAACCCAAATAAAAAAAAAAAAAACAGCGATATTGGCGAACTTATTGGAGAAAGTAAACATCTATTTCAAATTACTACAAGCCATCACTGGTTGAATATACAGTACTTTATAGTTAAAAGTAAATTTTGAGAGACTAACTATAATAGATAAAGTACGAAAAACAAAAAATATGTCAATTAATACTTGAAGGAAAAGAAATTGCTTCATATTTAGGTTTGCTGAAAAAGTCACTGTATCAACTCTGCTATTACCCCTTTAATTTCTTTAAATGGCTTCCTTTATACTTTTTTAAAACCCTTTTTAAATTAACAAGATCCGTCACAGGTTAGCAATGCTATTAATAAATATATTGATTAATTTAATTTTAGAGAGGGTTCCAGATATTGATATACATCTAATCAATACTTTAACTTATCTTTTTTTCGAACAGCCCTCGTAACTACTACTATATTTACCTTTACACTTGAAATCGAATCGAGATATACAGATATTATATTCATTATCGCATCTGAGTTCAAAGTATAAAGTGCTTTTACCTATTATATTGGTTTTTAATAGCACGGGTTTTATCTAATCTTTATTTTTATTTATAATGAGATATAAAATGTCGGAATAATAATGTTGTACCCGATTCAATAAAAACCATAATCAAACGTACAAAATTCAGTAGTTGATATTTTTAACAGTGACCGTGAACTTGTAACAATGGAAATGTTAGAAAGTGTGAAAGACGACTGGGATGAACTATCAGAAAACTACAAACTTCTAGAAAAAGCCAACGTACAGTATTTAAAAAAAATAACGGAGTTAGTATCACTACAAGAAACATGCAAGAAACACATCTCACATCAAAGGTACAGAATAAAAACAATTAATAAGACAATAAACAATATCCCAGATAAAACTAAAGCAGAAGAATTTAAAATCAAAATACTGAAAAGAGAAAAAGAACTAGAAGACATAGAACAAACGTTACCTAGAAAAAGCGATAGATTCACGTTAAAATTAATCCTAGGAGACATTGACGTCTCATTTTTAAACAAAGAAAACAAATTAAAATACAAAGAAGATTACGAAAATTTCAAACTGATATGTAACGGTATAGCAATTATTTTAGCTACAATTCTCATTTATGTCCCATTTAGACCTTTGGAGCTTTTCTTCATAGGATTCCTGATCTGGTATTACTGCACCATATCGATCAGGGAAAGCATCCTCATAGTGAATGGTTCCAGGATTAAAGGTTGGTGGAGAGTTCATCACCTGCTGTCAATAACAAGTTCAGGACTCTTCTTAATTTGGCCAAATAACGAACCGTGGGCTTTATTCAGGAAACAATTTATTTGCTACACCATCTACAGTGGATTCATTCAATATCTGCAATTCAAATACCAAAAAGGTACTATATATAGATTGAAAGCTTTAGGTCAGATGCAAAATATGGATATAACTTTAGAAGGGTTCCAATTCTGGATGTGGAAAGGCTTGGCTTTTCTGTTACCATTTCTATTTATCGGGTATATATTCCAGTTGACGAATTTCGTAGTACTGTTCCAGTTAAGTTACCATCCTCAGGCAACATGGGAGATTAGTGCTATTGCTGGAATATTTTTGATCTTCTTTTTCGGCAATACCTACACCACGATAATGGTGATACCGAATAAGACTAAACGAAAATTGATGACTCAATATAAGGTATTTACTGGTAGAATATATGATGCTGTCAGCGATAATACTGGTACAAGTAAGAAATGAACTTTTATGTGATTTAATACGTTTTTAATAGTTATAAAAAATTGTTGCTGTATTATTTTGTATATTTTAATAAAGTATAAACATTTTTGTATATTTTTGTTTGTTTGTTTGGGTGACTAACTGATTGATAATTTAATACTATACTGTATAGTGTGAGACACTTTTATTCTGTTAAATATAATACTGTATTTAATAAACACGAAATAAAAACAATTTGGGTTTATAATTGCGCCTAAACCCGGCTCTGGCTTCTCGCAAATCCAAGGAGAAATCCCGAAATAATATCCAAATTTAATATTTCTTTTAATAAAAGAGGAAGCTGAAATTGTACTGACTCATTGTTATCGTACTTCTTTTATCTAGTAGTCTGTGCGAAAAACCAAGACAATGGCTGGAACGGAAATATTTCCATTTTTGCTGAAAATTAAAAAAAAAAAGAATATATTTATTCCTCCGGTCTGAAATTGTACTCTCAAGTTGGAGCCGAAGAGCCATTCAAGATCTAGGAAATTGTGTTTTTATTATTAAAAATTGAACTTGACTTTGCTGCTTTTATTTTTGATGTACTTTGTGAGTTGCCTATGGAGGATAAATTAATAAAATAGTAAGATGTATGCAGAAAAATATCTAGAAAAATAAATACATTAATATAAGAGTTTTACCGTTGTATGAAGATATTATAGCAGGGTAACCTTATGGATATATCATTGGAGGACGATGGATATAGAATATAGATGGCGACACTGTACTTATATCCAAGTCAGGTAAAAAATAATTTATAGAAAATGTTACATATTTGATTAGATAATTAACATTGACATAAATATTCATTGCTCAGGACGGTAAGTGCTCAACTTTGGATTTCGTGAAGTTCAGTTACCGACTACTACTATTTTTTTCTGAACTGTTATCAAAATACTCCATAAAGAATGGTTTTATCTGTAAATGAATATGGGTTGGGAAATCCAAACTTGAATGCTTAACGACTTAAGTCTTGAAGGCACTTATATCAAGTTAATTATCCAATCAAATGTGACGTGGCTTTTTAAAATACCATCATTGTGCCCTTCAATGCTGGTGTGTCCATCTTCTACAAGAGAAAAAGAAGGAAATATTTGTGAAGTTGCCTTGCAAAAATGTGTACCAAAAGAGGGCAACTGGCTCTAGTAAGTCTTTTTCTTTTAAACGTCTCATTATTTGAAACTAAGCACCAGCATGGGAAATATATGTTAAAGTTAGTTTTAAGAGAACTTTTAACATTTAAATAAAAACAATTTATAAATCCGTGTTGAAACAAGACATAAAATTGTTGAAATTGAAAGATAATATTCTAAAAATGGAAAGGACTTCGATCGAGAGCCTATTGGACTGAATGTTCGGTTCAATCAATTGTAATAATTGGCATTATTATTAATTGAAAAATCTAAAGAATTTACCAAAAATTCTAAACAAGTATTTAATGTTTAAATTAAATAATTAAAAAGACACAATGAAACAAACCTTCAATTTATTAATCTACATTGAACGTGACATTGTTAAATACAATCAACAGTCACATAAATTTTGGTTTATATAGAAAGGATCACTTGGGTAAACACTTAGTCGGGTTCGGACTAAGGTCCAGAACTTTCGCCCCTTGGGCGAAACCCTGGTTTTGTATTGCAAAGTAATGTGTAAAGTTTTTTGTGTACGATGTGAATTATGGGTAAATATTTTAACTTAATTTTGTTTAATAATAATTGATTAATTGATTTACATATAAATGCCAATTTTACATTTTCGTCCCGAATTATATCTTATGCATATCTTTATTACTATTAGTTATAGTGCATTATTCCCTAAATGGAATTTTATTCATTTTTTCTGAAGACTATTTGTCAAGTTTTATAGTTATTGTTAATATACATTTGTTAATGTTTTAATACTTATTATTAATCTCTCCTCCCTTTCCAAACCAGCAAAATACTCCGAGCATTTGAGAAGCCTCGGCGTTTCTATTCCCTTAGGACTAAAAGAGTCTAAAACTAGTTGCCAAGAACCGCTCGACATATGCTATTAAGGGATGTTTTTTTGTATTTTATTATTTTTTCTTTATTATTTTTTTTGCCACTGGCGAATGGATGTTCCTTAAGGACTCCAGGACCCTTTGGCTGGTGACGTCGCTGCCCTAATCCCTTAATAGTATATTAACAACAGTAGCTAAAGACCTATCAGTAGTTACAAATGGTCATTAGGCTAACTGGTTGTTACATTTGGTGACGAGCGTTGGTCTTTAGGATTAACTGGTTGTTACAGTTGGTGACGAGCGTTGGTCTTTAGGATTAACTGGTTGTTACACAATGACAATTATTAATATTACTATTCTTAAATATTTTATTTAATTTGCTTGTAAATTTATGTGTAAATATATTTATAAATTACACTGGTCAATAGTGATTTTGTGGACGGGGGTTTAAGAGCGTTTTTGAACGAACGTTTTACCGATTTCAAATCGCTTCTCCGGTCTATAAATCTTCAATTGTTTCTCAAAAAGAATAAAATAAAGTAGTTTTGTCTAAAACTAAAATAAATTTGCTATGTTGAAGTCCCCATCGATTATTTCCAAATTTTTCCTTAACGTCTTAGTTGTAAGTTTCATATTACATTTTTTTAATTTGCTATTTCTGTGAATCATTAATTTTCACTTGCGTCATTGTTCTTCTGAAAAAGCGAAATGTGACTCACGTTTTGCTTAATTGGCTTTAGTTTCTGAGATAGTCAACCAGTCGAAATAACAAAAATACAAATAATAATAATAAGACATTAATTTATTTATTTAATCAGTTTTGTCTAAAAGGCTGTATTCTATAAACAATGAAAAATAGTGATTGTTGTTTTGAACTACTTAAAACATGTTCACTCGAACGGCGTGCGTAATTCAATTTAAAAATACTTTCCAGAATAAAACCACGTGCTCCGGTTTTGACTTTGTTTATTGCTAAACAGCGAAGTTATATACAGAAACGTTAATCCACAATCTAAATCAGGTACTATCACAAGAAAATCACTATGTTACAATTAATTAGTTAACCAAAAACTAGAGTACTTATTAATAAACGTATATACAGAATGGGCGCATTTTGTTCATAATAAACATAACACTTGCGCACTGACACTTAACCTGGATTAAATATAACTATAGATACAAATATTTACAGATAAAGATAATTTTCCAAACAGTAATAAATTATAAAAAAAATGTTTATAAGATTTTCTTTTATGCTCAAAGTTAGGACTTTATAATTATTCTGTCGTTCGTAGAATTATGTACTAAATAGAGCACTGATTTTGAAAATAAATTTGAACCATTTTGACGAGTTTTTGAACCTTGTAACATTGCAAAATGAAATATAAAGACTAACTGAATATGTCTGCCACAGATAGACCACTTGTCTTGAGCTGCTCCTAATCAAAGAGCGGAGCTATTGAAAACTTTCTTTCAAGGTGATTTATTTCAACACAACCAAGATATATTTGGAAGCCACTAATATATCTATGTGACTACGATTTTTTTTAATTTGTTTTCCAGTGTTATGGATTTATTTTTCCCTGATTAGTGATTTCCTTGTTCCTTATCTCAATTTCTTGCAAACTGTTGATAGCTTTGATGAAATTTTGTAGAAAAGCTTGTTCGAATTTTGAAAACTATAAAAATATTCAGCTATTTTTATGGTTATAAACTTTTCTAAAACTTAGTCTAGACATAGTAATTGGTAAAATATGCTTATTGCGTCCAATTAGAGGTACTTAGATTACATGCAATATTTTCAGAAGCTTATTCCTTTTTGTCTTCTACTTGAAACTTTTCAATTTAATTAAAACATTGTTTATACATATTGACATAACCGCACATAACCAAAATATTGACCAAAGTCCTTAACCACTTTTTATCACCTCCATCCAAAAATTATATTTGTACGGTTTTGTCAACTGGAATAAATGTTCATTATTATGTTTAATTTTGTATGTCTTTTATCATGAATTGTTATTTTTAAATAAATAAAGATATGTTTTTAACTTTAATAGGTAGGTGATACATAGCAGAGGCCACGTGCCTCATCGAAAAGAAGACGTAGAGGGCGTATCTGCATAGCATTAAAAATTGACAACTTCATTAAATCGTCTGTAGATGGCGCTCGAGATTGCATCCAACACTTTTTACTGTTGCATTATCCTTCTATAATACCTTCGTACAACGCTAAAATGTTCCAGTTTAAGTAACAGTATTTTATAGGGAATCACATTGATAGCTTTCGCAAAATGTAATATCTACAGGAATACTAAAACACCATTGAGATTCGTTTCTGGACTTTGCCATTGTGCTAAATAAGGGATATTTTAATATCGACAAATTGTAGGAAAGAAAAACAACGCTTTTTAGTGTAGAAACATAAAATTTATTCTCGCTGATGCGAGTGGGTATCTAGAATTTGCCTTTAGTGGCAGAAATGGTCTATTCATGAGTCTATTGAATTGTAAAGATTGGAAGCACCTCCTTTGGATGGCTTGGTCGAGAGAGTCGAGTGAGTCGAGAGTCGAGAATCGGGATAGAAGGATAAAGGGGAGAGACACTGTTGCATTATGTATTGTTTGAAATTGTATGTTCACACCGACATGTTTCTCCTACTCGTTTTACATAGACACGTGATAATACAATTTCCGTAAGCCTATCATTTCGCGGAATAAAATAGGACAACGCCACACAGGTACATGTACCCTTTAGCGGTGCATATTTATATGCTGTTCAGGATTACTATAAAAATTTGACATATTTCACTGTCAAATATTAATTGTACAAGTTCATCAAATTTCTAGAGGTGTTCGACGCCCAGACAGAGAATGCGCTACGTATGACTAAGATAGCTATTGTACAGTCTGCTAAACAAGTTATTTTAAATAGTTTTTAATATTTTTATGTAATTAAATTTTAAAAGTGTGGAATAGTTTAGGGATTAAATTGGTCTGATTGGACTTTCTTAGAACGTTTTTAAAAGCAGCTAAAGATAGTATGTAGAATTTAAAATAATTATTATGCCATAAAAGGTGTTTTGGAATTCCTTCAACCTTTTGAAATTGAGTCAGAAAATATAAATTTTATAGGATAGCGGAAAATACCTAT